CTGCTATTGTATTTAAATCCATATTATTACAAAATGTAACCACTTAGAACTTGATTATATATTATTTTTCATTTCTTGATTTTTTTGTTTCTGTCTAGATCTCCCTTCAGGCCTGAAATACCCTTCATATGGAAGATCGAGGAAAATCTTTATATTCTGTATAAAAACAAAATCAAATTTATATATTAAAATGATTTGTCTAAAAATTTGTTTTCACATAAAAATAAAAATTCATTTCTGATATGCAAAACAGTATGTGAACACAAAGACAGAACTTGTCAAATATTTGCTCAAAAATGTTTGTTTGAATGAAATTCAACGAATGAAATATACTTTTGTGTTATACCACATAGTGCCTCACACATAGTAGGCACTCAGTAATTACCAGCTGCTTAATAAGCTGGTAGGAATGAGAAATATTCTTAAGGGATTCACATCTAATGAGTGCTCTTAAGAATCACTGTCTGCTTTGTTTAAAATATTGAATTATTTTCTGTAGGCCAAGGGAGAAATAATGTTTTTCAGGTCCATAAATGTCAGCAGAAAAGTAGAATGAGATGAAGTGTTCTGTTGACAGTGCAGGACAGTAAATTCACCATCAAACAAAATGCAATCAGCAGGTAATTATGCTACTTAATTACTCTCTCCCTTTTTTATTTGGACTCCATTCCTTCTGAGTCATCACCATTAGTGGTAAGGGTAACAATAAAAAGGAGAAAATATGTTAGAGTATGCAGATAACAAAAACGAGATTCCTGTGACTGAGTTTCCCCCATGTTAGTTAGTGACAGAGCGGATTATGAGTAAGGAGCCCCAAATCACATGGAAGTTAGTTTTGGACAATCCTAGTCCTGTCTCTTTCAATCTGAGAAAAATACAGGTAAAACTCAATCTAACAAAGTTTATACTGAGGAATTATTGAAATTAATGACTAAATGGCAACTCCCAAGTTATGGAGAAATGATTTATTATATTACTAAGTACCACACAAAATATCTGCCAAATATCCATAGTAGGGAAGAGAGTGGTAATAACAAAAAAAGTCAGACAGGGTGACATAGCTCATATTGATGCAGAGTATTCTGGAAGAGTATTGTATGAAGTTGAAGAGGTCTGTAAACACTCAAAGGCAAACAGGAGTGTAAACATTGTGAATCTGAGAGCATATGAGGGAGCCAAGGCAAATCTCCATCAAATCCCCCATCAAATTCACATTGTACATGTTAAACTTTCTCTATATTCTATATATTCATCATTTAACTTCTCTTCTTAAATATCTTCACTGGCTCTTAATCATGCTCAGAATAAAGTCCCACCCACTGCGATTGGTTTTCATAGCTCTCCAGAGTTTGGCTCCATACTGGCAGTCTACCCCTAACACTCAGCACTTACCAAACATGAGTCCTACATTTGAGCTAGGTTGTTTTTCCCAGAGTCATGTGGTCAATTCCGAATTCTTTCCTTGTGCTTTTCTCCCTGGCTGAAATTCATCTACTCTCTTCTATACAGAACTAAATCTAACTATGCATTACAGCATTGCTACAGTACCTCATTTTCCTCCAAGCCATTTGGTGTCTGAAAACATGTTTGCTGGTATTCTTTAGTTGTGAAATGTTTAAAATGCGAATTCCTATGTCTTCTCCAAAATTAAGATACGGCTCACATTTTACTCCTCTTATCTATATCCCTACTACTCTACCTTGTATTTAACAGGTAGTCAGTAAATTAACTTGATATATACAATGAGGTCTCTACCTGAAACATTGTTACCAAAGACCCCATCAATTCAGATTTGACAAATATAAAAAATTGGTCTGCAATGAGTGCTTTATTATATGTAGTTGAGTTCTATCAAAGTGCTTAATCAATTTGTTCTCTAAATCTTCAACACACATCTCGCTTTTTAAAAAAATTGTTAAACAAATCTTTTGTTCAAAAGCAATATATACATAAATTTCAGTTCAGCCTTATATTTCAATTATCACATATTTTGAGTGAGCTGCATCTAAACAAGGTTTTATTATTATCTAATTTAGTGGTAATCATCAAGTGGATCTGTTTGATATTAATAATTACTAAGGGATAGTGAGTATTCCCAAACAGGGAGTTAATGCTTTATCTGCAATCAAGGAATAGTCATATATACACTGTTATACCAAAACCTTCTCATGTTTTTCCCGGATGGGAAATAAGAAGCATTTAATTCATAGAGAAAAATGATCTTCACATTCTATCAAGTTAAACTTCTACCACTCAAGGGTTTCAACTGCATAATAATGAGATAACAGTAAAACTGTAAGGATTAACATATGTTAACTCATAATGAATATGTTCAACAGAGTCCCCTGGATGCAAACCTTCTTGAAAAGCATTTTATTACTGCGTTTTCAATTGGCAAAATTTAATAAACCAAGTACTTAAGAGGCACAAAAGGCAAATGAGATAACATTCAGTCATGTCCCGTTATTTTTTAAAAAATGGCAAATTTATGCCAACACCAGCAGAAATGTAACCACTATTTTGTAGTCACACTTCTCACTGTAATTTCATGCCATTTTCACCATCATGCTGGAAAATGGCATTGAAAGAGAAATCTTTTGAACAAATTGACTGAAAGAAAACCATGTGAACCCATAAACAATTACAAGATTTTTATCTTCAAGAAAAGTAAAATTTGTCCTCTGACAATTCCACAGAACATAACAAAAGTGTATTTTATGATAGGTTTTAATGGGAGGAAACAGGACAGAGGGATTAAAGAAACAAAGTGACAGGATTTTAAAATATTTTTATGGTTATATATCTTAACAGATGCCTATGACCCACATGTTCACCTCAGGCATCTGCATTTCTATCTGCAGGAAAAGAAGGATAATCTATTTAAGAGGACTTAACAAATGACAACACATTTCTAAAATAGGCTTAAAATCTTTCCAAAGTGCTGAGGGAGAACTGTTAAATGGTCAGAAACAATCAAACTCTGGCCATTTCTTTGAATTAAAAATTTCTGTATACTTTTTGCTTTTTCACTGAATGAATACAACGAATTTAAAAATTAAAATGACAGTACAGATGCATTTCAAAGTGGTAAATTATAAAGTGCCCTGCCAAAGTGCTATGATAATTGTTATCCACAAACATCTACATGCAAACAGTACTGGCTTAGAATGTTTCAGGGCAATGAATAGTGTTTGCTAGCAGAAGTACATGACGAAAAATTTTAGAAAAGTAAAAGAAGCACATGTCTCACTAAAACCTTACATAAAACATCCCCATTATAATTTGATTCATATATAAACACACTCACATCTAAATCCAGAAAATAATTTCTTAGTGCACACTTAGACTTGCAGTAAATATTGTACTGAAAAATGGCCATGACGACAATGGCTGAGAGATTGTGACCATGAAAAAAGACCTAATTAAAATTTTAAAAGAAGAGATCATGGCAAGGACTGGTGTGCACATGCTACAGAAGAAGTTGGAGTGAGAGCAGAGCTGGCAGAAGGTAACAGACATCAGTTAAGGTGGAACAGAACAAGTGGTTATAAACAAAAGTGATCATGAAACTCAGAAGAGTAGAATAGAAGTTGATATATATATGTATACACACACACACACACACACACACACACATATATATATATACACAGACACATATATATATAATTAATAGTTACTAAGCAAAATTCAGTTGTAATGTGAGTTAGGTAAATTTTAATATGAGTTATAGTTAAAACTTCACCACATCTCACAAAATTGTGAAGATCAAACACAACAGTTGTAAAAGTGCTACATAAACTGTAAAATGCTATATTCATGTAAGACAGACAATATTTACTCAAAATGCAAATGAAACCTCCCATTTCAACTCTAGGGGAAGGCAAGCAATGAGCCCTCCAGGGCATAGAGGAGAGAAAATTCTCACTTTGGTCCATTCCCAGATTTTCTTGGAAACACAGGCTCTATAGTCACTCTATGGGCTGGCTTTTAATGCAGAGCAAAGACACTATAATTTGGTCTAATGGACATGCAGGCAATTTTCTACACACAAGAATTGTGTGGAGAAGAATCTTTAATCTGTGGAAGAAAGACATTCCCTTCCCTGCTTCTTAACCCTCGTAAAACTTTATTGCCTGCACAAGTGTGATATTAAATTACGCTGATTTCTCCTTTTTGAGGAGAGAATGAGAGGGGCAGGAATGGGGATAAAGATTCACCGAAATATGCCAAAACACGCAACATTTTCCCTCCAAAACTAACTACTGGGATAGAAAAAGAAGTCTAAGATGCACCTGGTATGTGTACATTGCAATGACCATTTTAGAACTAAGAGACTGAGGCTTAGTGAGACTAAATGACTTATTTAAGGCCACTTATTCAACACCACAAAGTCAGTATTTCTGGGTTTGAGTCATATCAAAGCCCTGGTACTTTCTACAACAATAAAGCCTTTCATCAAAAAAAACAAAAGATGCTAAAAGATAAACAGGTAAAAAGAACCAACCCATATTTTTAGCTTTCTTCTAAACTCTACCACTAGATTTTAGAAATATTTTGGCATTAAGTTTCCATTAAATTTTTAAAGTTAAACACCAGTTCCATGTTCTCTGATCATTAACTCTCAATGCACTGTTCATTACATTAAAAGCACATGCAATAGTTAACCATTGTGAAACACACTAAAATTTTCAAGAAAGCACACAATCATGAAACTACAGAGCTGAAAATACCTTAGAAACGATCTACTCAAACCACCTCATTTTATAAATAAGGAAATTAAGGCTCAGATAGGTGAAGTGACTTGCTCGGGGTCACACAACTTGTCAGTTCTAGACTCAGAATCAGAATTTAAATCTCCAAACTTGTAGCCCAGGGCTCTGTTTTTTTCCAAACCTACAAGAAACGACTGCATTTAAACATTTAGTCCAGAATACCCTTAAAATTGAGTGTAATTAGTAAAAGTAAGCCATATGACGAGGAATGAATGTAGTTCATACCAAAAATGAGCTGCCAGTCACTGTGGTAAGATCTGTTTCTTTCTGAGAACCATGGGCTCCTGCTGGATTGGAGAATCCAAACTGGGTTTCTTCCTCCTGTCCAAAGAAGTCAGAGTCAGGATGTATGTTCCATTCTGCTTTGGTTGGTGTCAGTAGATCTGAGACACTGTTTTCACAAAGGGTGCTTGAAGGAGTCAGAGCATCTGAGTCTACTGTTAGCTTACTGCTGGGGGTCAAAGCTTGGGGCTCTTGACTTGAGTTTTTCATAGCCAAAGATCCCAGAGATCCCAATGGCCCCGCGCTTAGACTTGAGACATCATCCATACCTAAGGGGCTCTGCTGAAAACCGGCGGCTGTCGTTCCAAAAAAGAGAGAGGTATCCAGACTTTGAGGAAGGTCACCGGTGGCCATCAAGCCCCGAGGGTCCAGAGCCTGCCCTAAGGAACTATTATTAGCAGCAGGAAGGTTCCCTGCCAGAGTTGAGCTCACCGAAGCCACATCAATAGTCAAGATTCCAGAGTTTACCAATGCCGTGTCTAGCACTGCAGCAGAACTACTGCCAGGCACGTCAGAGAAGAGAGACACTAGCTCTGCATCACTGAGATCACTCTGTCCCTGGCTGGCAAGTTCACTGCTGGGCGTAAGAGAATTTGCCGCTTCTAACTGAGCTAAGAGATCCTGGCCGAGGTTGTGCCTTTTGGCCATGTGGGTCTTCATGCTGTGCTTGGAGGTGAAGAGTTTATTGCAAGTGGAGACTGGGCAACGGCTTTTCCAAGTGTCCACATCTTGCAAGTGTTTCTTGGAGTGAATGTAGAGGCTACTTCGAGCAGAGAACCTGGCACAGCAGCCTTCCACGGGGCACACAAAGGGCTTTGTTCCCAGGTGGGTTATGCTGTGGCCTTTCAGATGCTCAGCCCTTGTGAAAGATTTCCCACAGCCTTCCACAGGGCACGTGAACCTCCGGTCATCGTCGTGCTTCCTTTTGTGCCTTAACAGTTTGGACATGCTAGTGAAGTTCCAGCCACAGCCGTCAAAGTCACAAAGGAAAGGTCTCTCACCAGTGTGGCTCCGCAGGTGAATTTTCAGCCGACAAGCCTTGTCGTACTGTTTGCTGCAGCCAGGAAAGGAGCAGGAAAAGAGTTCCTGCTCCCTGAAGTGGGCGCGGTTATGGGAAAACAGAGCACTCACGGTGATAAATGTCTTCTTGCAGCCAGAAAACGCGCACTGGTAGGGCCTCTCCGGCTCAAAGTGGCTCCGCTGGTG